TGGCTTGCAATGGCCAGGGCTCAGCCAGGCCAAAGTGAGGAGCCAGGAGCTTCCTCCAGGTCTCTCACATGGGTGCAGGGGTCCAAAGCTTTGGACCATCTTCTACTGCTTTCCCAAGGTGCATTACTAGGGGGCAGGGTTGGAAGTGGGGCAGCCAGGATTTGAATTGGCACCCATATAGGATGCCATCATTTCCAGTGGCAGCTTAACCCTTCATGCCATGGCCCCAAATAAAGCAAATTAAGAAGCAAAGATGGTTAGATGTGAAAAATCAGTTTTAACCTACAATAATAAATTAAAGGATTATTTCATAAGTATTCACATGAAACCTAAGTGCTAATCATGGTTGATTTTAATATCTATGATACCAAGTATATGTAGACTGCACTAGAAAATGGAATAGTGTACATTATAAAGGCTGTAAATTATAAAGCACTCCACACCCTGATAAGCCCTGATGTGTAGTCTGCACTCACTGATGCCTGTTTCCCAGTGGCACTGGGCAAAGGTAGGTGAAAAAGACAAGATACCAGCCTTGGGAAGTCATAGGAACCATTGCTGGTGCTTTTGCTTTCTCTTCTGTAGAGCATTTGGTCAGATGATCTTAAAAGTCTTTCACACTCTAATCTCTGTAAGTCAAGAGCCTACAATTTCAAGGATAATATATATCATGGCAGAAAATGCTAACAATAGCTTACTATTGTACTAATTACCAAAATTGTAGGTAAACCCATAGATAGTGCTATGGAGTAGTTAATGATAATTCAAAAATAGAGCAGATTGACCCCTGAAGATAGGGCAACATTTGCATGGAGGAGATGAGTATTGTCAATAAAAGGCAAACAGGACAATGGGCTTAGAGGTAGAATGGTGGGCCCTGTGTCCTTGGGCAGTGAGTAAATTGCCTAGCTTATGGATTTAAAGAATTAAATTTGCAAGCAAAAGAAGAAGGAAATTGGAAAGATAAGACAGATCCCAACAACAGGGAGCTGAAACTATGAAGCTAAAGAATATGGATGTTGTCTACGTGATAATGGTCAGGGACTGCAGCCTTTTATACAAAGAACAGTAGGAGTGTGGAGCCACTGCCTAATTAGATGAAGGGGTAACAAATATGATCTTGCGAATGGAAGGAAAAGGAGACAAGTTTTCTGGGAAATAAAGAGTCAAAAAAACTTGACAGCCAACTAAATGTTGGGATCAGTAATAAAAGGTCAGAAGAAGCAGGGTATTTTTGGTGTGAGAGAAACATAAGTTTGAGTTTCAATTTTAAGGAAATTATAGAAACACCCTAAAGATGACTGAGCACAGTGAAGGCTTGAGTGCCTATTCAAATCCTGCCTGCTCTGCTTCCCATCCAGCTCCCTGCTAGTGCTCCTGGGAAAGCAGCAGAAGGCAGCCTGAGTGCTTGGGCCCCCTGACACCAACATGGGAGACCCAGTTTGGCCCAGCCCTGGCCATCTGGGGAGTGAACCAGTGGATGAAAGATTCTTCTCTCTCTCTCTCTCTCTTCCTTCCTTCCTTTTCTCTCCTTCACTCTGCCTTTCAAATATTTTTTTAATATATTATAACAAATGAGAAAACTGGGTGAAATACAAAAGAATTAAACATAACATGTTGCATATGTAACCTGTAGCTTAATGGCAAATTAAATCTAATAAAAGCATAAAGGGAGGAGGCAAGAAACTAAAATACTACAAGTGCAAGAAAGAATTAATAGTGTAATATAATTTCAAAAAAACTATGATAGTCCATGTAATGAGATAAAAGGATGCAGCCAGCTTAACTTGTCTCTGCTTTACAAAATTTTAGGAAATTCAAGTTCAACTCTGAGGGGCACACTGGAACACTGCGTGTCATCCCATGCTTTGCAGAGTTCCTGATACAGTGTTGTTTATTAAATAACCAGGAATAAAGGCATCAAGAGAGGAAGAAAGGAAAAGAAGAAGAGGAAGAGGGAGGAGGGACAGGAAAATGATGGAAAGAACCCAAAGTGGAGTGCTTAGCTGCATAACAGAACCTTGTATATGCAAAGTGAAGATGTGGAGAGGGAGTAAAACAAGCATTTTAGAGGAATAAAGCCTGAAAATGCATGAAGATCATCATATGGGAAAGGTATTACATTTATTGTGGGATGCCCAAAAGAATGGCAAAAGGAGAGCAAGTTCCAAAGAACTAATTTTCTATGACATATGAAAGGGACTTTATCATAAAGTCATTCAGTAATTGAATAGTGATGGAGGAATGAGCATTTAGCCTAGTGGTTATCCCACATTAGAGTGCCTACATTTGATGCTGTTTTGGCTCCTAACTCCAGCTTCCTGGAACCCAGACCCTAGAAGTCAGCTCTGATGGCTCAAATGATTGGGCTCCTGCCACTCAGCTGGAAGACCTGGATTATATCCCTGGCTCCTAGCCCCAGTCCTGGCCACTACAGGCATTTGGAGAATGAACCAGCAGATAGAGTGCTCTCTCTCTCTCTCTCTCTCTCTCTCTCTCTCCCCTTCTAAAATTCATAATTAAAAAAATCCTAAATTTATAAATTAAGTGTGTCCACCTAAGCCTTAAATTCACATAGGAAAGGAATGAAAAACGGGCATTGTCACTAATGATGAGAGTGTATCTTGGCACAGTATCTACAATGATTACCCAATTTTAAAACCTTGTACACTTTCTGACCCAACAATTCCATTTATAAGAAAATAGCACAAAATATACATGAAAAGATAGGTCTGTTCAGTGCTGCGGCATTATAAGAAATAGAGAAAATATCACCTTTCAACTACCCAGAGGGGACTGGCTACTGAAGAACAAGACATCTATGCACTGAGAAAATACAGAACTAAAAATGAATAGGTTGACCTGTATTTGCTGATACAAAAAGTCAGCCAAAGATTAGTTATTACTGAGTTGAAAAGATGTTTTCTCTCTCCTATTCTTTAAATTCTTTAGTAATGTGAGAATGGTATCTTGTAATACTTAAAACTATGTTGTCCAGTTGTAAAAGCATTCAATAAAAGGTTGGAAGATTACTCACTGCTGTAGTCTGAAATATTGGGTTCCCCCCAAAATTTGTATGTTGAACCCCAATCACCAAAGCAAGGTGTCAAGGGGTAGGCCACTGGGAGGTGATTAGACTGTGAGAGTTCTGCCCTCGTGAAAAAGGCTTGATGGAAACTGTTTCTTCTGCCATGTAAGGATACACTGAGGGGCCTGGTGCTGTAGCACAGCAGGTTAACGCCCCGGCCTGAAGTGCTGGCATCCCATATGGCTGCCGGTTCAAGACCTGGCTGCTCCACTTCTGACCCAGCTCTCTGCTGTGGCCTGGGAAAGTAGTGGAAGAAGGCTCAAGTCCTTAGGCTCCTGTATCCACTTGGGAGACCCAGAGGAAGCTCCTGGCTCCTACCTTTGGATTGGTGCAGTTCCAGCCATTGCGGCCAATTGGGGAGTGAACCAGAGGATGAAAGGCCTCTCTCTCTCTCTCTCTCTAACTCTGACTGGAAAATAAATAAATAAATGTTTTTTTTTTTAAAAAGAAAAAGTGTGGCTGATAGAAAAATAAAGGTGAAACAGATCATTCTCTCAGAGAGAAGGAAAAGGGAAAAAAATTGGTGGTTTGGCAGCTCAAACTTAGATATAGAATTTGAAAAAAGAGAAAACACCAACAGGAATGCCATTAGTAATTAAGACATAAACAAACACTATTTAACATAACTGAATATCATGTATAAATTTGACATTCTCCATCATAAAGAGTTCTGAAACTCAAGTTTCACTCTTTTGGACATACTACTCTATTTTTAATATAAATTTTAATATGAATTACCTTTCCCTAGTACAGAGGCTCATCTTAAAATGGAACTTGATTCAAACTGACACTCAATAAAGCAATCAGCAAGCATCGACCCAACCACTTCCTAACATAACTTCATTTAAAAAGTTCTCATTGGGACCGGCGCTGTGGCTCACTAGGCTAATCTTCCACCTTGCGGCACTGGCACACCGGGTTCTAGTCCCAGTCAAGGCACCAGATTCTGTCCCGGTTGCCCCCCTTCCAGGCCAGCTCTCTGCTGTGGCCAGGGAGTGCATTGGAGGATGGCCCAACTGCTTGGACCCTGCACCTCCCTGCATGGGAGACCAGGATAAGTACCTGGCTCCTGCCACCGGATCAGTGCAGTGCACCAGTTGCAGCGCGCCAGCCGCAGCGGCCATTGGAGGGTAAACCAATGGCAAAGGAAGACCTTTCTCTCTGTCTCTCTCTCTCTCACTGTCCACTCTGCCTGTCAAAAAATAAATAAATAAATAAAATTAAAAGTTCTCATTGTCATGGGCATGGCACAGTGAGTTAAGCTGCTGGTTAGGGTGCTCACATCTTATATGGAAATGCCAGTTCTAGTCCCTACAGCACTTTTTCAGATTCAGCTTTCTGCTAATGCACCTGGTAAGGCATCAGGTAGTGGCTTGAGTCCCTGGGTCCCTGCCACCCAAGTGGGGAGATGGAATTCCCGGCTCCTGATTTTGGCCTGGCCCAGCTCTGGCTGTTGTGGTCATTTGGGGAGTGAACCAGCTATGAGCAAAACCTCTCTCTTTTCTTTTACTTCCTCTTTTTCTCTTTCTGCCATTCTTTCAGATAAATAAAATAAAACTTTAAAAATAAAAGGTATTCATTTTTGGTGCATAAACTGTACAAATATACTCCTCAAGATAGCATTTTTCTTCTCACCTATTGGTAAGTTCTGGAATTTTAATGTGTTTTCCTTTGCTGTTAAATAGGAATAGTCTTCTGAATTACTAACAAAGTCAGGAGACTCAAAAAATGTAATCATGATTTAAACTGTCATTGACATTTAACTGCAAGGAATATAAAAGTTAAGAAAAGTTAATTCATATGCAACCATAAAAAGCAAGCCCTCAACATCTGGGTCTGTACCAGTGTACTCAGTCAATAGTTTCCAATCTTACTGAAGCCCAGAGAGTTCTATTGGGAAGATATACTTAACTGTTTCTTCATCATTAGGTTTCTTTGTAGGCATACATGTTGGTTTTTCTGCCATGTCAGAGAGAAAGAACTGAAAATGAAGAAATAAAGTCTTTAAAAATGTTCTTACAAAGGTTACATTCCTGCTTTATAACACCACGGACCTGTTTTGAATTGTAGCTGTCTTGCTACAGAGGCTTCTACACAATAAATAATATACATTCAAGATACGTGGTAATGCATGTAACCATAACACAAAAGCATTCTAGGAAAGGTAACTTCCTTTTTGAAATCAAGAGGACAAAGAGCACTCACTCTTCATTAAAGGACTCTACAGTCATGAGAAACTAGAGACTTTTGTTTTAATCCATGCTAAACCAACCAAGAAGCCTGCATAATTGCTTATCTTTCCAGAACAGCTTACCAGGGGAGTCTGGGGCATTAGAGTACAACAACTGAAGGAGAATTAGAAAGACAGAGCTTATAGAATATAAACGGGTCCCTTGGACACTGAACTAACATAATGATAATTCTCACAAAGCACCTACTATGCATCCAGCATTGTGCCCGGAGCCTTGTGCTTTACCTTATTTAGTGCTCCTAGGAGCCCTGAGGTGGACAGATTTTCATTGCCATCTGCCAGGTGGAAAAAAGACACAGAAAGCTGAAGGAACTTACTTGCCCAGAGGTCCAGCAGGTCTGAACTGGTCCCAAAGCTGGTGTTCTTCCTACTGGCCACACTAGTGGACCAAATCACCATTTCCTGTGTTTGCAACAGTTGCAAAAAAGGTGGGGAGGATACAAGGGAGTCCTGTGTGCTGATTTCCCAGCAGGACCGCCTGCGATGGCCCTGCTGCCCTACTTTTGAGAACAATAGCACAAAGATATGAAGAATAGGAGGCTTATTTTAAGAGGAAATATTATATATGGGTAACATAAAAAAAACAAAAATTAACTAAATCAAAAAATGACTCTTTGTGGTGGTCTCTTCCCTGGATCTACTCTGAAAATTGCTACCCTTTAGAATATATAAATTCTCTCAATTTCCCTAACATTAGATGGGTTCTCTTCTATAGATAACATTCTGTTCTATGGCATGGTTTACTCTAACATAGACTATATGACGGTGCTATATTTGCTGATGTTGGGCATCACAGTAACTTCTAGTCATTTAATTACAACTGGTAATAAATATTTAAGTTACTGGGAAAAGGTTGCTCCCTAACTTCTTATTCACTAAGAATGTAAGTAAGTTACTACAAATTCAAGAGTATCTGTTTCTGTATATTTTTGGCACACATGTCCAAGTCTAGTTTGAAAACCAGACATTGGTTGGCGTGTATTTCAAAACCCAGTTATAAATGAATTGCAGGAGACCAGCATTGTGGCATAGCAGGAAAAGCCGCCACCTGCAATGCCGGCATCCCAGTCCCTGCCTATGTGATCATCTGGGGAATGGAGCAGCAGACAGAATATCTCTATCCCTCTCTCGGTAACTCGGACCTTTTGGCCTTGCAATTAAGAGACTGGTTGAGGAGCTAGCACTGTGCCAGAGTAGGTAAGGCTGTGGTCTGTGGCACCAGAATCCCACATGGGTGCTGGTTCAAGTCCCAGCTGCTCCACTTCTGATCCAGCTCTCTGCTATGGCCTGGGAAAGCAGTAGAAGATGGCCTGAGTTCTTGGGCTGCTGTACCCATATAGGAGACTCTGAAGAAGCTCCTGGCTCCTGGAATTGGATCTGCCCAGCTCCAGCCATTACAGCCACTTGGGGAGTGAACCAGCGGATGGAAGACCTTTCTCTTTGTCACTCTATTTCTATGTCTCAAGTAAAAAAAAAAAAAAAAAGACTAGAGTAAAAGTTCTCCAAATATGGTCCCTGAGCCCCTGAGAATCCCTGAGACTTTGACGGGGCCCAGGAGGTAAAAATGCTCTTTTTTTTTTTTTTTAACAATACCAAGGTGTAATTTGCCTTTCCCACTGTGATAACACTTACAGTGATGGTTGAAAAGCAATGGTGGATAAAGACACCTGCTGATCTTCAGCTCGGCAGTGCCACGAAATTGTATTATTGCTCATTGTGCTATTTCCCACACACATTCACAATAACAACAGAAAAAAATGTAGAACGAGCCCTCATAAAGCACTTATGTTGTACATAGACATGTTGGTTGTCTTGAGAACTGCAAGGTGTCCTGGCGCATAACAAATCTCCCCAGGCAGATGAGTCAATTAATTCACAGGCTTTTATTGGAGTTCTGCTCCCAGGCGAGGTTCCATGGCCCCAACAAAGCAACAGAGCTGGGGCAGGGGAAGTCCCGGGTCAGGGATTGGGAGTGCTCCTTTTATAGATTCGGGGTATGGGGGTTAAAGGTTGAGGCGGGTCTGATCCTCATTGGTTGACCTTTAGGTACCCGCGGGACCTTGACAAGGACTTTTCTTCCCTGGAAGTATAGTCCTTCCCTCCTTGTGGCTCCCAAAGCTACCAAGAACAACAGATTCTGTGAGTGGCAAGAGATAGTTATTTCTTTTTTATGAAACATTGTCAATTGTAAGAAAAACTGACAAACACTGGTATTTGGGTTTGGATATCTCAAGACAATTTCTGGGAAATAAATGAAGTGTGATATAAAACATCAAGAAAAATAACCAAGGGGTCGACTTTTGGCCCAGTGGTTAAGATGCCAGTTAAGATACCCATATTCTGTGTCGGAGTACCTGAGTTCTATACCCAGTTCTGGCTCCTGACTCCAGCATCATGCTAGTGAGGACCCTGAAAGACAGCGGAGGTGACTGAAATGATTAGCTTCCTGCTATCCACATGAGGGACTCAGATCTGAATTCCTGGCTTGTGGCTTTGGACCAGTCTAGCTTCAGCCTACTCTCTCTCTCTCTCTCTCTCTCTCCAAATCTCTCTCTGACCCTCTGACCCTCAAATAAATTTTTAAAATGTAATAAAATAACTGAAAATATATTCTGTAACTGATTAAATTTGAGCTTTAAAGCTAAAGTTTGAGTTTTTGGAGAATTTTATCCATTTTTTTTTTTAATTTATTTGACTGATAGAGTTATAGACAGTGAGAGACAGAGAGAAAGGTCTTCCTTCTGTTGGTTCACTCCCCAAATGGCTGCTACAGCCAGCACTGCGCAGATCCGAAGCCAGGAGCCAGGTGCTTCCTCCTGGTCTCCCAGGCGGGTGCAGCGTCCAAGCACTCGGGCCATCCTCCACTGCCCTCCTGGGCCACAGCAGAGAGCCAGACTGGAAGAGGAACAACCGGGACTAGAACCTGGTGCCCATATGGGATGCAGGCACCGCGGATGGAGGATTAACCAAGTGAGCCATGGCGCCAGCCCCTATCCATCATTATAATCTTGACAGCTTCCCAATACTTAAAAACTTTTCCAAAGATATTGGTGATTATGACAAATATAAACTTTTTTAAGGTTTATTTATCTATTTAATGAGATAACAAGAGAGGGAGGGAGGGAGAGAGAGAGGGGTCCTCTGCTCTCTGGGTCACTCCCCAGATGGCCACCATGGCGGGGGCGGGGCCAGGCTGCACCCAGGAGCCAGGAGCTCCATCCAGGTCCCAGGAGCTCCATCCAGGTCCCCCACAGGGGCGCAGGGCCCAGATGAGCAGAGCTGGGATGCAGGCGAAGCCCTCCCCAAGAGGAGAATTCCTAGCCGGCGTTCTGGTCACTGGGGAAGGGGGAACTGGGAATAAAGGCGCAGGAAGCTGGAGGGAGAAACGCAGGAGGGAGGGAGCGTTGGTCCTGGCCCCCTGGCCGTCCCACCCAGGCCTCCAGGACCCTAGCCTCGCCCCCCCCAGCAATTCCGCGCCCCCCCCGCCCCCCCCCGCCCCGCCCAGCTCCCCCAGCCCTGGTCCAGCCCCGTGGGTTCCTGGCATTGCTTCCACTGGGGGAACTCTGCTGGGAGATCCTGTGAGCAAGCGTCCGCACACATACAAGCACACGCACGCACACGGGTACACACACACGTACAGGTGCACATGCATACACGGGTGAACACGCACGGATACACACACAGGATGCACACGGGTGCACACAGGTACACGCACGCACACACGGATGCACACACGGGTGCACACGCGCAGTCTGCAGGGCCAGCCCAGCTTCCTCTCCCCTAGGGTTCCCCCCCCAAAGGAAACCCCAGACCCCCGGGCGGTGGCATCAGGTGGGCAGTGGGACCCCCCGGGAGTGGCTCAGCCCTTAGCCCCAGGGCCTGGGCCCAGGAGACATCCCAGTGAAGCCCCTCCCAGCGGAGGGCGGTGTGGGGGGCGGCGGGCAGGCCCCTGCCTGGGGAGGGGGAGGCGGCCAAGGATGGTAGGGACTATGCAGGAAGGGCTTGGGGCACAGACCCTGGGGCCCCACAGGGCGGGTCGGGGGCGGTTTCGGGCTGGAGTAGGCACGCCCTCGGGGAGACCCGCGGGGGACGGAGCTCCCAGCTGAGGCCGGCGGTTGGGGAGTGAGCAGCAGACGCGCGAGGGTGCGTTCACGCCGGCCGGGGCCTGGGGCTCCTCGCGGCTCAGCGGCGTCCCCGCCCCGCGCAGGCATCTCGTCGCCTGTGAAAAAGACAAAGATGGACAAGTCGCCATTCAATAGCCCCTCGCCGCAGGACTCGCCGCGCCTGTGCAGCTTTACGCAGCACCACCGGCCCGTGATCGCAGTGCACAGCGGTGAGCGCGAGGCGGGGCGGGGGCTGGGCGGGGGCCAGGGACAGAGCGCACACACAGGCGCGGGGCGGGGCCGGGGCCAGGGTCGAGCGCTGGGCCCACGCCCCGCTCTGACCGCCCCGCCGCGTAGGCATCGTCCGGAGTCCACACCCGTCCTCCGCCCTGCACTTCCCCACCACGTCCATTCTGCAGCAGACAGCGTCCACCTACTTCCCGCAAAGGGCCATCCGCTACCCGCCGCATCTCAACCCTCAGGACCCGCTCAAAGATCTCATGTCGCTTGCCTGCGACCCGGCCAGCCGGCAGCCTGGTCCGGTGAGTGCGGGGTGGCCGACGGGCGGAGGAGGGGGCGCGGCGACGCGGGCAGGGGTCCGTGGGTGGCGGAGGGGGCGCGGCGCCGCGGACAGGGTTCCGCTGGCAGCAGCAGATTCCTCCTCCTTGGCTCCTGCCAGGCCCCCTCAGCAATGCGTGTCCTGCCCTCGGGGTTTCGCATTTGGAAGCGGCAGGTGAGGTGGCACCTTGTGAACAGACAGGGAGGCGGGGTGCAGGGGTCCCAGCCCCCTGGACCTCTAGCCAGTCTCGGGCTTGCCCAACCCCCGTAGCCCTGCCGGCGCCTTGGTCCCTCCGCGGCCGCCCCCCCACCCCCGCTCAGCCTGGGCACCCAGTGTTTCTCCCTTCCCCTCAGGCTCTAGCCCCAGTGTAGCAGAAGGGGCGGCGCATGTGTCCACTCCTTCCTCCCCCTCCCCGCGCACAAACCGAGCTCCTTTCCCGGTCCCCCCCCTCTCCGCAGGGGGGGGGCGCAGGGGTCACAGGCCCCAGGCGTCCGCGGGCGGCAGGAACGAGGATCCGGACTTCACAGCTTTGGGGGCTCAGGGGGCAGAGCCCCGGGCCAGCCCACGCCATTCTGGGTGTTTTTAGGATACATTTATGATTTATCTGAAAGGCAGAGTGGGGGGGGGAGGGAAGAGAGAGAGAGGGGTAGAGGTGTTCCGTCCACTGGGTCACTCCCAGAATGGCTGGGGCAGGGCCAGGCCAGAGCCAGGAGCTCCATCCATGGCTCCCACACAGGCTGCAGGGGCCCAGGCACCTGGGCCTTCAGCCGGGGACCCGGATGGGAAATGGAGCGGCCGGGACTCGAACCAGCGCTCCGTGGGTGCTGGCATTGTGCACAGCCTGCCATGGGCCACATCTCGCCGTGCGAGGGAGGGTTCCACCTGGCCCTGGAAGCCCCCCACCCCCTTCTATACTTTTCCAGCTGAGAACCCGGATCACAGCTTGGTGGCCTCTGCCCGCCCCGCCCCGCCCCCTCTCACACCCAGGCCAGGAACCAGCTTCCCTTGAACTGCCAGGAAGCCGGCCCCAGATTCAAATCCAGCCTCAGCCAGCTTGAAGGCCCAGGCTTTCCCTGCCCACTCACCTATGAGGTGGGGGAAGGCAACTGTGTCCTGAGAAGACTCCCCTGGGGGTGAACGGGGCTGTGCCCAGGGCCTCGCATACAGTAGGCACTTAATAGATGTGGACAGCAGGTAGATCCCCTCCCTGGAAGCCACACGGGGCTCTGACCGCAAACCCAGGCTCCTGCCCCCAGGCCTGGTCAGGCCCCTGCTCCCCTCCCCCTTTGCAGCCCCTGACCAAGTGCCCTGGGTGTGATTAGAGTGAGGGAGTGAGGCCTGCAGACCTGCGGCCTCCCTGCCTTGCCCCACACAGCAGTTTGGAAGTTGCAAAACGCCCTCAGTGACAGGCGGCCCCCAGGACCATGGGGTGCGGGGTGCTGCGGGAGTGCGTGCAGAGGGCTGGCTGTGTGACCCCAGGCAGCGGACACCCTCTCTGGGCCTGGCCGGCCCCTCACTAACAGGCTCTTGGTCTCTCTCCTCCCTGCAGCCTACTCTGTGCCTAACATGTTCCCTGCAAACGATTCCTTTGGGATTAGGACCAAGGGATCCTGTGGGCAGCTTTCAGGCACAGGTAGGGACCAAGACGCCGGCTGGAGGGGGGTGGGGAGCCAGGCAGAGGGGCCAGCCTGGGGGGCACACGGAAAGGAGAGGGGAGCCCACCCGCCTCCGCCGCTGGCCACAGCCCGGGCTCCAGGGCCCTCGAGCGAGCCCAGGCTGCCTTCTCCTGGGCTCCCCCTTCTGCTTCTTGCCCAACATCTGTCCAGATGGGGAGAGGCCCAGAGAAGCCAGAGACCTGCCCAGGGTCACACAGGGGTCAGCTGGAACTTGCCTCACTCCCACCCCGTGCCCCAGGCCCAGTGGCCTCGGGGGAGACCCTGCACTAGGGAGGGGCTCAGAGCAGGGAGGTGAGTGACCCCGGGGCCCACGTGTCCCCCAACCTGCCCGCCTTCGGGGACCCTGGGCCTGAGACAGTAGGAGGGGGCCCCAGAGCCCCAGCCCCCCACCATGTTGTTGGGGAGGGGGTCTCAGATGCACAGAGAAGCCAGTCCAGAAGCTCCAGGTCATGTGGGGGAGGTCCCCGAGGCCTTGGCTGGACCCTGCTGCACCCCTCTGGGCCTCGGGCGCAGAGCGGGGGCCAGCAGCTCCCACATCCAGGTCACTGGGAGCCAGGGCAGCGCTGACGGGGCCCAGACCCTCTCCAGTGGGGGCTTCAAGTTCCTGATTGATTCAGAAACCAAAGCTAATAGGTTTCAGGCCTGGCCCTAACTCTTCCCCACCACCTGCCTGAGAGCAGAGGGAAACCAAGCCAAGCAAGGCCCCAGCGAAGATGGGGTGGGGGGCCAGGGTGCAGGGAGAGGAGGGGAGGGGCCTCCCTAGGCAGGGCTCGTGGGGAGGGGGGTCCACAGCAGGTCAGGGCTCTGGGACAGGTTGTGACTGTTGGGAGGGGGTGTGAGGGCAGATGCCACCCGCTCCCTGCAGCCAGGGAGGGGGGAGGAAGCCAGAGCCCCGCTCTGGGCCCCCTCAGGGCTGATTCTGGCTCTGTCCCCACTTCCTCCCCCATTGGTGTTATTCCTGGCAGTGTGCCACTTGGCCCCACGCCCTGCCCCCAAGCCTCCTCCTCTGCAGCCCCTCCCCCAATCAATACCCATTGATCTCCACCCCTACCCCCAGCGCGTGCCTAGTCTTCTGAGCTGGGCTCACCTGGACACCCCATCCCCCAGCCACCCGCCAGCCCGTGAGCGTCCCAAGGAAGGCCAGGGTCATGTGCCAGAAGCCACGTGGGCAGCTGCAGCCAGGCCCCAGGAGGCAAAGGCTGTCCACTGGAGAGGGTCACACCCAGAGTCTGTCTGGTTGCCAACGGAAACCAGACATGAGGTAATGGCCAAGATTAACTTGAACATGGCTGGAGGTGGGCAGCTGCGAGCTCAGGTGCCACTTCCTTGGGATGGCCCAGTGGCTGCCTCGTTGCCTGGTTCCCGGGGACACCAGTGATAAGTGACAGGGGTGGGTGACAGCCCAAGCCCCCTGGCAGACCTGGGCTCTAGGGAGAGAGACCCGAGATGCCCCCAGCCGGCCCTGGAGTCAGGAGACAGGCCCGAGCAAACACCTGCAAGTCCTGGGGTCTAGGGAGATGGGCCCCAGCCACCTGCCCCCACCCTGGCCCTGGAGAAGAAGGAGACAGGCCCAAGCTCCATGGCAAGCCCTGGGGTCTAGGGAGACAGGCTCGAGCTGCTCTCGGACAGCCCTGGGGTCAAGAGACAGGCCTACGGCGCCATGGCTCAATAGGCTAATCCTCTGTCTGCGGTGCCTGTGCCCCGGGTTCTAGTCCCAGTCGGGGCGCCGGATTCTGACCCGGTTGCTCCTCTTCCAGTCCAGCTCTCTGCTGTGGCCCAGGAGTGCAGTGGAGGATGGCCCAAGTCCTTTGGCCCTGCACCTGCAAGGGAGACCAGGAGAAACACCTGGCTCCTGGCTACGGATCAGCGTGGTGGGCTGGCAGCAGCGCGCCGGCTACAGCGGCCATTGGGAGGTGAACCAACAGAAAAAGGAAAACCTTTTTCTCTGTCTTTCTCTCACTGTCACTCTGCTTGTCAAAGAGAGAGAGAGAGAGAGAGAGAGAGAGAGAGAGAGGCCTAAGACTCCACTGGCCAGCCCTGGAGAAGAGGGAGACAGGCCCAAGCTGCCCCCGGCCAGCCTGGGAGTCCAACACTGGCCTGAGTTGCCACCCGGCCAGCCCTGGAATCTAGGGAGAAGGCCTGGGCAACCCCCGGCCAGCCCTGGGATCTAGGGAGATGAGCCCGGGCCGTCCCCCCCACCCAGCCCTGGAGAAGAGGGAGACAGGCCCAACCTGCCCCTGGCTGGCCCTGGGGTCTAGGGAGACAGGCCTGAGCTGCACCTGGCCAGCCCTATGGTCGAGACTTGGGCCTGAGCTGCCCCCAGCCATCCCTGGGGTCTAGGGATACAGGCCTGAGCTGCCCCCAGCCAGCCCTGGAGACAGGAAACAGGCCCAAGCTGCCCCCTGGCCAGCCCTGGAGTCGAGACATGGGCCCGAGCTGCCCCTAGCTGGCCCTGGGGTCTAGGGAGACAGGCCTGAGCTGCCCCCAGACAGCCCTGGAGGCGAGACACGGGCCCGAGCTGCCCCCAGCCAGCCCTGCAGTCAAGACACAGGCCCTAACTGCCCCTGGCCGGCCCTGGGGTCTAGGGAGATGGGACTGAGCTGCCCCTAGCCAGCCCTGGGGTCTAGGGACACGGGACCGGGCCACCCCCCTCTGGACCTGGAGAAGAGGGAGACAGGCCTGAGCTGCCCCGAGCCAGCCCTGGGGTCGAGACACAGGCCCGAGCTGCACCTGGACGGCCCTGGGGTCTAGAGAGACTGGCCTGAGCTGCCCCCCAGCCAGCCCTGGAGTCAAGACATGGGCCGGAGCTGCCGCCTGGCCGGCCCTGGAATTGAGACATGGGCCAGAGCTGCCCCTGGCTGGCCCTGGGCTTTAGGGAATGGGCCCAAGCTGCCTCTGGTCAGCCCTGGGGTCTAGGGAGACAGGCCCGGCTGCCCCCCAGCCCTGGAGAAGAGGGAGACAGGCCCAAGCTGCCCCTTGCCGGCCCTGGAGCCAAGACATGGGCCGGAGCTGCCCCTGGCCAGCCCTGCGGTCTAGGGAGATGGCCTGGACCGTCCCCCACCCCAGCCCTGGAGAAGAGGGAGACAGTCCCAAGCTGCCCCCTGCTGGCCCTGGGGTCTAGGGAGACTGGCCCAAGCTGCCCCGGACAGAACTGGGGACGAGACATGGGCCCGAGCTGCCCCGACCAGCCCCTGGGGTCGAGGAAGACAGGCCTGAGCCACCCCTGGACAACCCTAGGGTCTAGGGAGACGGGCCTGAGCTGCCCCCAGCCAGGGGTCAGCCTGGGGTCAAGACTTGGGTCCGAGCTGCCCCTGGCCTGCCCTGGAGTCAGGATACAGACCCGTGCCACTCCTGGCTATCCCTGGGTTCAAGACACAGGTCTGAGCTGTCCCCGGGCAGCCCTGGGGTCAAAGAGACAGGACCATGCCACCCCCCCACCCTGGCTTTGGAGAAGAGGAGGACAGTCCCAAGCTGCCCCTGGCCGGCCCCGGGGTCTAGGCAGACTGGCCCAAGCTGCCCCCGGCCAGCCCTGGGGTCTAGGGAGATGGTCCCCGGCCGCCCACCCCCCAGCCCTGGGGAAGAGGAGAAAGGCCCATGCTGCCCCTGGCTGGCCCTGGGGTCTAGGGAGATAGGCCCGATCTGCTCAGGCCAGCCCTGGGGTCAGGAGACAGGCCTATGTCCCCCAATTGCCAGCCCTTGAGTCTAGGGAGATGGGCCTGAGCTGCCCCTGGCCAGCCCTGGGGTCAAGGGAGATGGGCCCAGGCCACCCCCACCAGCCCTGGGTTCACGACACAGGCACGAGTTGCCCCCGACCAGCCCTGGGGTCTAGGGAGATGAGCACGAGCTGGCTAGGGAGACAGGTCTGGGCCAACCCCCCCGGCCCTGGAGAAGAGGGAGACAGGCCCAAAATGCCCTTAGCAGGGGCTGGGCTCTAGGGAGACTGGCCCGAGCAGTCCCCAGCCAGTCCTGGAGTCGAGACCCGGGCCCAAGCTGCCCCTGGCCGGCCCTGGGGTCTAGGGATACGGGCCTGAGCTGCCCCCAGCCAGCCCTTGGGTCTATGGAGTGGGCCCGAGCCACCCCCCTCCCCCCAGCCCTGGAGTAGAGGGAGACAGCCCCAAGCTCCCTGGCTGGCCCTGGGGTCAGGAGAAAGGCCTAAGCCCCCCACAGTCTAGCTCAGGGGTCCAGGGAGACGGGCCCAGGCCAACCCTCCCCCCAGCCCTGGAGAAGAGGGAGACAGGCCCAGGCTCCCTGGCCAGCTCTGGGGTCTAGGGAGTCGGGCCCAAGCTGCCCCTGGCCAGCCCTCGGGTTAGGAGACAAGCCTAAGCCCCCCACTGTCCAGCCCTGGAGTGTAGGGATTTTGGACCGAGCTGCCCCCCAGCTGGTCCTGGGGTCTAGGGAGACAGGCCTGGGCTGCTTCCCCACCCCAGCCCTGGAGAAGAGGGAGACAGGCCCTGGAGTCTAGGGAGACAGGACCAAGCTGCCCCCGGCCAGCCCTGGGGTCTAGTGATTTGGGCCCGGGCTGCCCCGCGCCCCAGCCCTGGAGAAGAGGGAGACAGGCCCGAGCTTCCCCTGGCCAGCCCTGGGGTCAGGAGACAGGCCTACGTCCCCCACTTGCCAGCCCATGAGTCTAGGGAGACGGGCCAGAGCTGCCTCTGGTCAGCCCTGGAGTCGAGACAGGGTCCCAAGCTGCCTCTGGCTTGGCCCTGGGGTCTAGGGAGAGGGGCCTGAGCTTCCCCCAGGTCTCCTGTGGCCCTGCTGGGCAGCCCCAGGCTCATCAGCTCCTCTGTGATACCAGGCTAAGTGGTCTGCCCTCCTCGGGGCTTGTGGGCGTCTCACCATCTGCATGCTGGTCACCTTGGGCAAGTCTGCTGCCAGCTCAGAGCCCCTCTCTTCACAAAACGGGGGGGGGAGGGGAAGCCCCGGGGCGGGGCGGGAACCCTGGTCCAGGGCTCCCTGGTTGGCCCTTCTCCTTGGAAATGTCTCCGCCAGGGTTAGCAAGTGCCCGGCCCACGCATCTGTGTCTGTCTCCCCCAAGCCGCAGCGGCTCCTGAGCCCGTCCTGCTCCGTGGCTTCTGCTCAGCCCCAGGACTGCCCATCGGGGATCCCGATGGGATGTTTCTGGCAGCCTAGCCTGCCGGGTCGGGGGTGCCAGGGCCTGACTACGGGTCTCTCTGTCTCCCTCTGCTGCCCAGTCCTGGTACATGGGGTAGCAAGGGTCCTTGCCTTGTGCCCCTCTTCCTTCACCAACAATCCCAGGGGGCACCACAGCCGGCCCTTCTGAGCAAGCCCAGCCCGGCGGAGAAGACAAAACATAACCCACCCAGGCGGAAGAGAAAAACCGAACCGAGACACGTATGGGGGAGGGGCCAGGAAGACCCCCACCCACCCACGCCGCCCAGCTGAGCAGACAGAAAGCCAAGGCACCGGACTGCAGTGCTGCCCCGCGGGAGCCGGCGCCCGCCTCATCTCTGCACCTGCTGCTCCAACAGGGCCAGGACTGAAGCACGCGCGCCTGCCCCTCCCCCGGCCCCGACTGCCCAGGTCCAGGTGAGCACCGCCCAGCGCCCGCGCCCAAGGACTGGGCCATCGGGACACCCAGCGAGGCTGCCTCTCCTGGGCCATGGGGACGTCGGCCTCCCCCACCCGCACCCCGTCTCCCCATGGATGGCCTCGGCGAGAGGGAGGCGGGCACTTGGAGCGGGTGCGGCAAGGACCCCAGCCGTGGGCAGCTGAGACTTTGGTGGAGGGCAGGGGTCCCGCAGAGGGGGAGCGCGGGGAGACCGCGGGCAGCGCGAGCCCAGCGCTGGGCATCAGTGCACAGGCACCTCTCCCCCTCCCCCGCTCGGGGACTTGCTCCTGCTTGCTCCCTTGCTCTCCCTGCCTCTGGGGACGGGGTCTTCCCGCCCTGCCCATCCTGCTTGGAGGAGAAGTCTACGCAATTGACATCCCAGCCCAATTGACACCCCAGCCCGGCTGGGCGCCCCCAGGGAGAGAGCCACGTTGCACACACTGTAAGAAATGCACTTTCCCAGGGCGGGGCGGGGCTGGCCGCGGGGAGGGGGAGGTGCCCGTGGGAGGGGAGGGCTGCCCCCTCCAGGTAGCCCCTGGGGAAGGAGCGCCAGAGCATGTGGTTTAAGTGCCTGACCTCAACCTTTGTCACCTGGGACACCGAGTGGCCACGGTGCAGCCCCGCCCATCTCACCCCCCTCCGCCACCTCCAGTCATCGCTGTGCCCCCCCAAAGCTAGAGATTGGACCCCAGGGGTAGCGCTGGGCGCCCGGCCCGCCCTGCTGGAGCGCCGGGGTGGGTTCCGGGGCAGCCGGCGTGCTCCCCCAGCCTCCTCCGCCAGTGCCTTACATCCTGGAGCGGTGAACCCCCTGGGCCCCCCCAGCCCGATGGGGGCCAGCATTGCCACTTTCACCCCTCCACCCAGCGGGGCGCAGCCGGGGGTCCCCGGGAGCTGAGGGGGGGGCGGGCGGACCCCTGCACAGAGGGCTACGCCAGGACTCTGGCGGGAGGGGGCGGGGCGGCGCCGGTTGTGGGGGGGAGGGGGTCGCACGCGTTTTTCAGTTGAGCTACACCTAAAACACTAAGTGAGGGACCCCGGCCCCATCCTCACTCCCACCCCTCCTGGCAGGAGAGGGGAGACCAGCGAGGGGCGCGAGGTGTCCTAGGGCCTGGGAGCCCGGACAGGGGGACCCCTCCTGGCCTCTGCCGACTTCTTCCCGCCAGGCTACGCTGGGGGGGGAGGCGTGTCCCCGCCCCTCTTCCCCCAGTGGCCCCCAGCCCGGCCTGGGCGAACCCTCTCCTCCCGAGAAAGGCCCGAGACCCCGGCCCGGCCCGTGCGGCCCCTCCCCTAGCGGTGCATGGTGCTGGGCGCTGGAGAGCACAGCCTGGCTTCCAGCGTCCAAGCGACGCGTGCATGGCAAACCGGGCTCGCCCTCCCCGCCCGCCTGGCTCCTCTTACAAAACAAAAACAAACAAAAAAAGATACCAAAAAAGAAAAAAAAAAAAAACTAAAAAACAAAAGCCCCAAACCTCCACGTTTCCTGATTTGCAGGGATTTCTACCACTTGAGGTGCCTTGCCTTGGAGACGGCGCCCCCGCCTGGGCAGGCAGAGCTGCATGGCTGCTCTAGTCCAGGCGCTGACGTGATAGACGCCGGTCGAGCAACGGATGTATTTATGTGTGTAGAAGCGCACCTACGCGTTCTGGAAGCTTCTTTCTCGTAGGTCCCACGAGGCCACGTTTGATTCCAGCTTGCACCTCGCCCTCTCGGTTCCCCCCGCCCCCCCCAGCCTGTCGGGGAGCAGCGCCTCCCCCACACGTCCATCCCCCTGCAGGGGTGGGGGCGCAGAGCATCGCAATCAGGGATACCAAAACCGACTCTTGCTAAGCAGTGCCTCACTCTCTGCTGGCGCAGCTCGGTCTTCTTCCCACTCCCCCATATGTCTATATAGTCAATCCAATATGAATGCCACTTTAAGTAATGGCTACTCTGCTTCCAATTCACCTTCCTGCTAATGCACCTGGGAAGACAATGGAAGATGGTCCAAGTACTTGGGTCCTGGCACCCTTGGAGACCTAGATGGCGTTTCCGACTCCTGGCTTTTGCCTGGCCCAGACCTGGCTTTTGTTGCCATTTGAGAAGTGAACCAGACATAGAAGATTCTCTCTTCCCTCCCCCTTCCTCTCTCTCTCTCTCTCTCTCGCTCTCGCTCTCGCTCTCTCTGTGTGTGTTTCTTCCTGTCACTAGCCTTTCAAAAATTTAAATAAATAAATAAATCTTAAAAAAATAAAGAAACTCCATAGCCACTAGCAGACATTCCCACTTTCTCTTGCTCTCTCAGCTAACTATTCCCTCCCCATTCCCCAACCCCGACTCCCAGTACCAAGAAGTCGCTTTTCTAGTTTGTGTCTCTCTAGACTTCTCTCTGCTGGGCTTTTTACCTCTCCTGCCTAACTGTAATTATATTTCCTTTGGCCCACATCCCACCTTTCCCCTGCCCACTGGCCACACAAGCCTCTGGTAACCACCATGCTATTCTGTCCTCTACAAGATCGGATGTCTTAGATTTTACACCTTAGTGAAATCATGAGGTATTTGTCTTACCGTGTCTGCCATATTTTATTTAATGTAATATTTCCCAGGTTCATCCGTGCTGTTGCAAAACTGGATTTCATTCATTTTATAGCTGAATAATATTCTACTGTGTATATGTACAACATTTTAATGATCTCTTCATCTGTTGATGGACAGTTGACTGCATGTCTCGGTTATTGTGAATAGTACAGCAATGAACACAGAGTGTGGTTGTCTCTTTAACCTACTGGTTTCATTTCCTGGGCATATGTACACAGAAGTGCAAGGCTGGACCATGTGGAAGTTCTATTTTAAATATTTTGAGGAACCTCCATACTGTTCATAAAAGCTTTGTTAATTTCCACTTCCACCAACAGTGTACAGGGTTCTCTTTCTTCCACATCCTTGCCAGCACTTGCCATCTTTCATCTTCTTGGTAATAGCCACTCCAGTAGGAGTGAAATGATATCTCATTTCAGTTTTGATTTGCATTTCCATTATGATTAGTGAAGTTGAGCATTTCCTTGATATGTTTTGGCATTTTCTATGTCTTCCCTTAGCAAGTGTTGGTTTAGGACTTTTGTCCATTTTTAAATTGGGTTATTTGTTTTCTTGCTATTGAACTGTTGGAGTAATTTAATTCTCTCTTCGTTCTGTAGATTGTTTCTTTTGCTGTGCAGTAGCTTTTTAGCTTGATGGAATCATTTTTTGTCTTTTTTTGCTTTAGTTGCCTTGCTTATGAGGTCATATCTAAAACAATCACTGACCAGACCAATGGCATAGAACTTCTCCATATGTTTTCTTCTACTAGTTTTATCAATTCTGGACTTAGATTAAAGTCTTCCATTCATTTTGGCTTAATGTCTGCAGTACTGGGAGCTAAGGATCTAATCTCATTCTTTGGAATGTGAATGTCCACTTTTCCCAAGGTATTTGATTAAAGAGAACATCCTTTCTCCATTGTGGATTTCTGGCACAATTGTTGAAAATGAGTTAACTAGAAATACATGGTTTTACTTCTGGGCTATCCATTCTGTTCCATTTCTCTGTTTGTATTCACATAAATACTACATTGTTTTTGGTTATTACTGCCTTGTAGTATATTTTGAAGCCAGGTAGACTGATGCCTTCAACTTTGTTCTTTTTGTCCAGTACTACTTTCACACTAGGGGTTTGTTGTGGTTCCTTGCAAATTCTAGTCTTGCTTTTTATATTTATGTGAAGTATATTTTATTGATATTGCATTGAATATATTGGGTGCTTTGAGTAGTATGGATATTTTAATGTATTAATTCTTCCAATCTATGAACACAGAATATCTTTTTTTGTACATTCTTCAATTTCTTTTCATCACTGTTTTATAGTTTCAATGTAGAGATCTTTCACCTCAATGGTTAAATTTATTCACAAGTACTTTTTAAGTTATTGTGAATGGGATTTTTGATATTTCTTCATCAGATAGTTCATTGTTGGTGAACAGCAGTGTTACTATTTTTGTTATTGATTTTGTATCTTGCAACTTACTGAATTCATTTATTAGCTCTAACAGCTCTTGGTGGGGTCTTTTCAGTTTTCTGTAATATGATTATGTTGGGAAAACAGGGACAATAAACTTCTTCCTGTTCAATGTGGCTACCTTTTATTTCTTTCTCTTGCTAATTTCTCTGGCTTTCACTTCTGGTGCAATATTTAAGTGATGAAATTAAAAGAAAAACTTTCAAACTTTCCCCATTCAGAATGATGTTGGCTGTGGATTTGTCATGTTTGTATGACTTTTATTATGTTGAGATCCATTCTGTCTGTACTTAATTTCTTGAGAGTTTTTTCATGAAAGGATGTTGACATTTGTAACACGCTTTTTCTGCGTCTGTTGAAACAATTGTGTGGTTTTGTCCTTCATTCTGTTAATGGGATGTGTTACATTCATTGAGTTGTATGTGTTGAAATAATCTTGCATCCCTGGAGTGAATCTCACTTGATCATGGTGAATGATCATGTCAATGTGCCTCTGGATTCAGATTCTATGATTTCCATTGTGTTTTATTCTTGTTGTGTCTTTGGTTTGGATATCATGGTAATGCTAGCCTCATAAAGTAAGTTTGGGAATATTCCATTCTCTTCCTTTTTTTTTAACAGTTTGAGAATTGAAATTAGTTCTCTTTTAAATATTTGATAGACTGGGGACCATGAAGTGACATAGGAGGCTAAGCTTCACCTCACGGTGCCAGCATCCCATAAGGGCACCAGTTCCAGTCCCAGCTGCTCCACTTCTGATCCAGCTCCCTGCTAATGGCCTCAGAAAGCAGTGGGCCCCTCACACATGTAGGGGACCCAGAGGAAGCTCCCAGCTCCTGGCTTCTGATCAGCCCAGCTCCAACCGTTGCAGCCATTTGGGGAGTGAACCAGCAGATGGAAGACTTTTTCTGTCTTTCCCTCTCTCTGTAACTCTGCCTCTCAAATAAACATATAAAATTTTTTTTAAAAAGTGTGTTTCACAGACTCCTGGACTTTCTTATATGGGAGACTTTTAATCATTATTTTCATTTCCTAACTCATTATTTATCTGTTCATTTTTCCTGTTTCTTCATAATTTGATCTTGGTAAGTTGTACATATCCAGGATTTCATCCATTTCTTTTGATTTATCCAATTCATTAGCATTGATTGTTATAGTTTTTTTTTTTTAATTTGACAGGTAGAGTTATAGACACTGAGAGAGAGAGACAGAGAGAAAGGTCTTCCTCCCGTTGGTTCACTCCCCAAATGGCCGCTACGGCCAGCGCTGCACCGATCTGAAGCCAGGCCACTATGGCTGGTGCTGTGCCGATCTGAAGCCAAGAGCTTCTCCTGGTCTCCCATGCGGGTGCAGGGGCCCAAGCACTTGGGCCATCCTCCACTGCCCTCCCTGCCCACAGCAGAGAGCTGGACTGGAGGAGGAGCAACCGGGACTAGAACCTGGCACCCATATGGGATGCCAGCACCGCAGGTGGAGGATTAACCAAGTGAGCCACGGCATCGGCCTATAGTAGTTTCTTATGTTTCCTTATATTTCTGTCATATTAGATGCAATGTCTCCTTTTTCATCTCTGATTTTATTTGAGTCTTCTTTTTTTCTTAGTCTATCTGAAGTTTTGCCAATTGTTTCTTTTTTCAAAAAAAAGAAATCTATTTTTTCTAGTGTTTATTTTTCTAATCATTTGCTTTTGTCATGATCTTTATTATTCCTTTCCTTCTAATAATTTGGTTCAAGGTGTTTTTTTTTTAACTTTCATTTAATGAATATAAATTTCCAAAGTACGATTTATGGATTACAATGGCTCCCCCCCATACCGTCCCTCCCACCCACAACCCTCCCCTTTCCCACTCCCTCTCCCCTTCCATTCACATCAAGATTCATTTTCGATTATCTTAATATACAGAAGATCAGCTTAGTATACATTAAGTAAGGATTTCAACAGTTTGCTCCCACACAGAAACATAAAGTGAAAAATAATAGATGATTTTTTTAAATGATGATGAAATCAGATCAGACCTATTGTCATGTTTAATCCCAGTGAGAGTCAAGTTGGGAGTTGATAATTTCTTTTTTTTTTATACAGAGGATCAGTTTAGTATACATTAAGTAAAGATTTCAGCAGTTTGCACCCCCATAGAAACACAAAGTGAAATATATTGTTTGAGTACTCGTTATAGCATTAAATCTCAATGCACAGCACATTAAGGACAGAGATCCTACATGAGGAGTAAGTGCACAGTGACTCCTGTTGTTGACTTTACCAATTGACACTCCTGTCTATGGCATCAGTAATCTCCCTATGCTCCAGTCATGAGTTTCCAAGGCTATGGAAGCCCTCTGAGTTCTCCAATTCTTATCTTGTTTAGACAAGGTCATAGTCAAAGTGGAGGTTCTCTCCTCCCTTCAGAGAAAGGTACCTCCTTCTTTGAAGACCTGTTCTTTCCACTGGGATCTCACTCACAGAGATCTTTTGCGAGAGTGTCTTGGCTTTCCATGCCTGAAAAAGGTGTTTTTTTTTTAAGATTTTATTTATTGAGAGGTAGAGTTACAGACAGAGGAGAAAGAGAGAGAGATTGTGAGAGAGGGAGAGAGAGAGAGATCCTCCATCTGCTGGTTCATGCCCCAGTTAGCCACAACAGCCAGAGCTGAGCTGATCCGAAGCCAGGAGCCAGAAGCTAGGAGCTTCCTCTGGGTCTCCCACGTGGGTGCAGGGACTCACACTTGGGCCATCTTCAACTGCTTTCCCAGACCATAGCAGAGAGCTGGATCAGAAGAGGAGCATCTGGGACTTGAACCAGTGCCCACATGGGATTTCAGCAGTGAAGGCAAAGGCCTAGCCCACTGTGCCACAGCACTGGCTCCAAGGTGATTTTTTTAAAGATATATTTATTTATTTTTGAGTTATAGAAAGAGTAAGTGAAAAAAAAGAGGGAGAGAGAGAGAGAGAGAGAGAGATATCTTCCATCTGCTGGGTCACTTCCCAGATGGCCACAATGGCTAGGGTTGGGTCAGGCCAAAGTCAGGAGTCCCATCCAGGTCTCCCACATGGGTGACAGGGGCCAATGTACTAAAGTCATCTGCTGCTTTCCCATGTGTGTTAGCATGGAGTTGGATCAGAGGTGTAGCAACCGGGATTTGAACCAGTGCTCATATGGGATGCCGGCCTTACAGGTGGCTGCCTAACCCACTGTACCACATGCCAGCCCCTGGTTTGAGTTTTTTTCCTCATTTTCCTTGAGTTGCAACATTGTGAGAGGTCTCTGTTCTTTTCTGATGTAGATATTCATTGCTGTTGTTTTTTTTCAGAATTGCTTTTGCTGCATTCCATCCATAGCTTTCAGTATGTTGTATTTTCATTTATCTTAAGAAAAATTTAAGGCCGGCACCGTGGCTTAATAGGCTAATCCTCCACCTTGCAGCGCTGGCACACCAGGTTCTAGTCCCGGTCGGGGTGCCGGATTCTCTCCGGGTTGCCCCTCTTCCAGGCCAGCTCTCTGCTATGGCCCGGGAGTGCAGTGGAGGATGGCCCAAGTGCTTGGGCCCTGCACCCCATGGGAGACCAGGAGAAGCACCTGGCTCCTGCCTTCAGATCAGCATGATGCGCCGGCCATGGCGGCCATTGGAGGGTGAACCACGGCAAAAGGAAGACCTTTCTCTCTGTCTTCTCTCTCACTGTCCACTCTGCCTGTCAAAAAGAAAAAGAAAAAAAAGAAAAATTTAAATTTCCTTTTAGGTTCTTCACTGACTCATTGGCTTTTTAAAAGAAATACATATTTTAATTTTTGTGTATTTCTGAAATTCTAACTGTAAATGAGATCTAGTGTTATATAATTGTGGTCATGAAAGATACTTGATATGAATTCAATCTTAAAATTGTTGGGCTTTTCTGTGGGCTCACATATTACCTATCCTGGTTAATACACCATGTGTAGTTGAGAAGAATGTGTATTCTGCAGCTGTTGTATGGAATGCTCCGTAGTTGTCAGTTAGGTCTAATTTACCCAGAGTGCAATTTAACTCTGCCGATTCTTTGTTATTTTCTGTCTAGATGATTTGACCATTGCTGCAAGTGTGGTGTTGAAGCCCTCAACCATCATTGTATTGCAGTTCATGTATACCAGTTTGGGCCACAGCTGCTCAACTTCTGATCCAGCTCCCTGCAAATGGGCTGGGAAAAGCAGTGGAAGATGATTCAAGTTTAGAGGTCCCGTCACCCACATGAGAGACCTGGCTCCTGACTTCTGCCTGGCCCAGCCCTTGGCCATTGCAGCCATCTGGGGAGTAAGCCTTTTCTCTCTTTCTCTCTGTAACTCTGCCTTTGAAATAAATAAATAAATCATAAAAGTATCATTTTAATATATGTGTGAAGACTTGTTTCTGGTGATTCTGTTCTGCTTCATTGGTCTATATGTCTATTCTTATAAGCATCACACTAGGCTTGTAGTAAGTTTTGATAATGGAAACTGTGAAACTCATAATTGTCTTCAGGAATATTTGGATATTCAGAGTCCCCCAAGATTCCATGTTAATTTTAACATGGATTTTTCTATTTTTGGATAAAATATTGATATTTTCACAGGAATTGCAATATATCTGTAGATCATTTTGGATAATATTAATATCTTAACAATGTTCAGTTTTTAAAAATAAGCAGAATTTTTTATTTTTACATGGATCCTCTTTCATTTCTTTTATCAGATATCTTTGATTAAGCTACAACTTTAATAGATTTGAAAAAATATTGGGGGCTGGCATTGTGGTGCAGTGGGTTAATCTGCCACCTGTAACACCAGCATCCCATATGAGGAACAGTTCTAGACCCAGCTGCTCCACTTCCAATCCAGTTCCCTGCCAATGCACCTGGGAAAGCAGTGGAAGATGGCCTATGTGCTTGCATCCTTGCCACCCACCGGAAGCTCTTGGCTTCTGGCTCTTGGCTTCTGCCTTTGGCATAGCCCAACATCAGCCATTACAACCATTTGGTAGGTGTACCAGTGGTTGGAAGATCTCTCTGTGTCTCTCTTCCTTTTCTCCCTCTTTCTGTAACTCTGCCTTTCAAATAAATAAATAAATCTTTAATTAAAAGGGAAGAAAAATTATGATTCTCACTAAATTTTCCTTGGTAAAATATACTTACTGCTCATAAAACCATATTACATTCATATTACTAGGCAAGGAACTTAATATTGTTATGTTATAATGAAAGTTAAAATTTTCTATTCCATTTCTAATAGTGTAAATATTTCTACATGTAGCCCATATAAAGAATCCTTTACCCAGAGTGCAGTGAAACATCACAGGTTAAGGACGCAGTCACCACAAGACTTGTTTCACTGCTGTAACTAGCCCACAGTTCAAGAGTTCCCATGGACGTCTTCAGTTCTGACTATCCTTTCCTTATTTTTTTTTATTTTTTAAAGATTTATTTACTTATTTGAAAGGCAGAGTTACAGAGAGGCAGAGGCAGAGAGAGGGAGAATGCTTCCAACCAAGGGTTCACTCCCCAAATGGCTGCAACAGCTGGAGCTGGGCCGATCCAAAGGCAGGAGCTTCTTCCAGGTCTCCCATGCAGGTGCGCGGGCCCAGGGACTTGGGCCATCTTCTACTGCTTTCCCAGGCCTTAGCAGAGAGCTGGGTGAGAAGTGGAACAGCTGGGTTTCGAACTGGCACCTGTATGGGATTCCAGCATTGCAGGTGGCAGCTTTACCCACTATGTCACCACTCCAGCCCCAACTATCTTTTCAACAGATACTCTTGAAGCATTTGAATATATACAATGTGAAACCCCCACCTCAGCTCAACACCTGAGGTTCTGGTGAGTAGGTCATCTGACGCTTTGGTGTAGAGTTTTAATTAGGGCTCAACCACATGCTGACCACCTGCTGCCTTTAGTCTCCATCCCCTCCTGAAGGTTTGAACTAACACCTTCAGTCTCCAGTTACTCAGGGGTTGGAAGCGACTGGGCATGTTCCAAAGGCCCCAACACAAATCACAGTGGTGGACTGCCAGGGGGTAAACTCCCAGGCAAAGATCCCAGCAGGCAGCACATTCTAGGAGACCACTACCCAGCAGCAAAGGACAAAGGTCAGATTTCCATTTTTCCTTTAGATAGATGATACCACATATGGGTTTTATTTGCATTTTCCTGATGGCTAGTGATAGTGAGCATTTTTTCTGTATGTTTGTTGGTCAGTTGTGTTTCTGCTTTGAGAAATATTTATTCAGATCCTATACCTACTTCTTACCTGTACTTTTTCTTGCTGTTGTTGGTGGTGGTGAGTTTTTTTTAATTTTTTATTCTGGATGCTAATCCTTTGTCAGAAGAACAGTATTCAATGTTTTCTCTCATTCTTGTGGTTGTCTCTATACTATGTTTATTGTTTCCTTTGACCTCAGAAAATTTTTTTTTATTCCATTTGCCTGTTTTTTTTTTTTTTTTTTACTTTGATTGATTGTACTTTGGAGGTGCTTCAAAAATGCCTTTGCCTGTACTGACATCTTTTTTTTTTTAGAATTTTTTTTATTTGACAGGTAGAGTTATAGACAGTGAGAGAAAGACAGAGAAAAGGTCTTCCTTCCATTGGTTCACTCCCCAAATGGCCACTATGGCTGGTGCTGTGCTGATCCGAAGCCAAGAGCCAGGTGCTTCCTCCTGGTCTCCCATGCGGGTGCAGGAGCCCAGACACTTGGGCCATCCTCCACTGCCCTCCCGGGCCACAGCAGAGAGCTGGACTGGAAGAGGAGCAGCCAGGACTAGAACCCGGCACCTATATGGGATGCTGGCGCCACAGGCAGAGGATTAACCAAGTGAGCCACAGCGCCGGCCCCTGTACTGATATCTTCAAGTGTTCTCCTTAGGTTTTCTTCTAGAAGTTTCATAGTTTCAGGTCTTACATTTAGGGCTTTAATCCATTTTGTGTCAGTCTTTGTATGGTGTGAAACATAGAGGTCAAATTTCAATTTTCTGCATGTGAGTGTTCAGTTTTATCAGCACCATTTATTAAAGAGACTCTCTTTTCTCCAAGGTGAATCTGATGATATCACATAGCTGAGATGTGTGGACGTATCTCCAGGATCTCCATTCTGGTACATATGTCCATTTTTATGCCAGTACCATGCTGTTTTAGTATAGTATAGTATAGTATAGTATAGTATAGTATAGTATCCTCATTTCAAACATTTCAAATGGTATGATTCTACATGCAGAAAAACCTAATGATTCCACCAAAAGACTGCCAGCACTGATAAACCAATTTAGTAGTATTTCAGGAAACAAAATCAACTTTCATAAATCAGTAGCACTTATATGAACCAATAATGAACTTGCTGAGAAGGAAATTATAGGCACTGTGGCACAATGGGCTAAAGCACTGACCTTAAGGGCCAGCATTCCATATGGGCACTGGTTCTAGTCTCGGCTGCTCCTCTTCCAATCCAGCCCTCTGCTATGGCCTGGGAAAGCAATGGAGGATGGCCCAAGTCCTTGGGCCCCTGAACCCATGTGGGAAACCCAGAGGAAGCTCCTGGCTTTGGATCTGCACAGCTCTGGCCGTTGTGGTCATCTGGGGGAGTGAACCAGCAGATGGAAGAGCTCTCTCTATCTCTATCTCTCTCTGTAGCTCTGTCTTTCAAATAAATAAAGTAGATCTTGAAAGAGAAAGAAAGAAAGAAAGAAAGAAGGAAAGAAAAAGTTATAAAAGCAATTCTATCAAAAATAACTTAAAAAATTCACAATAGCTAAGATATGGAATCAACCCAGTGTCCATCAACTGATGATCGGATAAAGAAATTATGTTATGCAAACACCATGGAATACTCCTCAGGGGTGAAAAAAAATGAAATCCTGTGTTTTTTTTTTTCAACAAAATGGATGTAGCTGGAACCCATTATACTTAGTGAAATAAGCCAATCCTAAAAAGACAAGTACCATATGTTTTCCCTGACCTGTGGTAACTAAGGAAGTACCTAAATGGTACTTAAAATGCAACATTTTGAGATGAAGAATTTTTTTTATAAATAGTGTTGTTGTCCTTTTTTTCTTCATATTATTTGTTGAATTATTTACTTAGTGTAGGGTTAATCCTATGAATATGAACGGAAAACATACCTTTATAAAAATTAACAGTAGGAATAGGAGAGGGAGGAGGAAGAGGAGTGGGAGCAGGGTTGAAAGGGAGGGTACAGTGGGAAGTATCACTATGTTCCTAAATGTATATATGTATTAAATACATGAAATTTGTGTACCTTAAATAAAGTTTAAAAATCTTGGAAAAAGTTCAATCAAGCACAAAAAGACTGTTACAATGAAAATTATAAAAACAATGAAAAATTAGACCAAAAAAATGAAACGACCTGTTCATGGATTGGAAGAATCAAATTCTGTATTATCCAGAGCAATTTACCAATTCAACAGTCCCCACCAAAATACCAGTAAGATTCTTCACAAAACTAGAAAAAAAATACAGAAATTCATGTGGAAGCATGAAATACCCCAAATAGCCACAGCAATCTTAAAAAAAAAAAAAGAACCTGGGTATCAAGACACACTGCAGAACTATAGTAATCAGGTTTAAAAACAGATGCACAGATCAATAGAACATAATAGATATCCCAGAGATAAATATGCACAGCTACAGTTAACTGATCCTTGGCAAAGCCACCACAAACATAAATTACAGAGAAGACAATATCTTCAATAAATGGTGTGGGGGAAATTGTATATCCATCTGCAGGAGATTGTAACTAGATCCTACCTCTCAATCTTTACAAAAATCAGTTCAAAACAGATCAAAGACCTGTATGCAAGACATGAAACTACTAAAAGGAAATGCTTCCAAACATTGGTATAGGCAAGAATGTTTTGGCTAACACTCCAAAAGCACAGGCAACAGAAGCAAAACTAAACAAGACTGTATCAACCAAGAAGCTTCTGCACAGCAGAGGAAACAATGCAGAGACAACCAACAGAGTAGGAAATAATGTTTGCACACCATTCCTTGATGAACAATTTGCGGACTATATAAGGAACTCAAAAAATATAGCAATAACAACAAATAAACATTAAAAAGGAACAAAGGATCTGAACAGACATTTCTCAAAAGAAGACATACAAATGGGCAACAAATAAATGAAAAATGTTCCATATAACTAGCCATCAGTGAAATGCAATGATTTATCACAGTGAGAGATTACCTCACTCCAGTTAGAACAGCTATTATCAGAAAGAAAACAATTAGATGAAATAGCAGCAGATATTATCAAGAATATAGCCGCTCAACAAAAATCATTAGACTTTAATGCCCAGGTAGTGAGATAATAGAATTGCTCTATGTTCCTACTAGAAGAACAAAGAGAAATGTGTGTGACATCAAATCCATCTATATCAACACTTCTGGGGCAGTGCAGACTGGTAGAGTCAGCCAGAAGCTCGCTGTTTATAAGAAGTAACAAAGCATGCAGACCAACATGATTTATTTAGCTGCTTACTCACAGAGAAAGCTTCTTTATTCAGTAAAAAAGAACAAGGATTCTGACAGTTTCACTTTGTATCTTTCTACTTTTTGTTGTCATTATACCTTGTACTCCCTGTCTTTCTGACTTTTGTCTATCTAGGAACAAAATCTCTGCCTATATTATTATTGCCCAACAAGTTGCATTGACTACTATGCTTTCCAGAAAAAAAAAATAAAAAAAACTGAAGCTTGGTATTTTACACATATGCCTAAACCAAGACATTCCTCTTCAGAGTGGACGCGCCCCCAGTCAAATAAGTTTCTTCGTTGTTCCTTGGTGTTTTCTCTCAAGACCTTTTTCTGCACACCTCTTAGAATCACCAAATCTCTCTTCCGTGGGACATAGCATCCTGGAAATGACGTGCCGGGGATTCCCCTGAGCAGTGGGCAACACTGACTCCTGACATAACTTCATCTGCATGGTCTTCAATGAAGACCTTTGAGGAAAAGGGAGCAATGGGGGTGGGGGTCAGCACGAGTGCAGAATGCTGAAGAGGAAAGCCAGAGTCCCTGTGTGGGCCTTTACAGATGTGCTGGGGGAACAGGTTGCTGCTTCTATAGTGCGTTGAGAACGTAAAAGGCAACAGTTTTACAGATTTTGTCAATACTCAGCAGACCTTGGGCGATTCCAGAGAGAACAGTCCGTTCCTTTCCCGGATGTTTGAGCGGACTTGCAACTTTTGTAACCGCTTGATTGGAGCCGGTTTCCAAACAGCCGGCTCACTCCATCTTGTTCATCTCCAAAGGCGGCTCAGCTCCCCAGTCCCCCGACCCATTTTCTTAAACGAAACTTCAGTTTTGCTTCCCCTCAGCTAAACGGAACCCGAGTCTCCCTGTTGGCAAAACTGTTCTTCAGGAACAAAACTGCCTTTGCTTTTCAAGTTGTGTTTGGTTTTTGGTTCCAGATGAACCTTTGCCATCCATTTTGGCGAGCAGGGTGCAGTAGTTTTTGTTTTTTTGTTTTGACAGGCAGAGTTAGACAGTGAGAGACAGAGAGAGAGAGACAGAAAGGTCTTCCTTCCCTTGGTTCACCGCCAAAATGGCCGCTACGGCCGGCGCACTGTGCTGATCCGAAGCCAGGAGCCAGGTGCTTCCTCCTGGTCTCCCATGGGGTGTAGGGCCCAAGGACTTGGGCCATCCTCCACTGCCTTCCTGGGCCACAGCAGAGAGCTGGCCTGGAAGAGGAGCAACCGGGACAGAACCGGCACCCCAACTGGGACTAGAACCCAGAGCGCTGGCGCTGCAGGCGGAGGAGTAGTTTTGAATCCCAATTAAAGGAAATGTTATCCCTATTAAAAATTCCATTCTTCTCACTGAAGACGTGCAAACATGTGTATTATTCAATCATTATGGTTTAGTTTCATCACTATACATGGGGAGGGAGGATGGGCGTGGAGAGTCGGTTCCAGCACTGAGGCAGGAGGCCAGCTGGTTGCCAGGGGCTGTGGGACGGGTCCTCCGGACAGGTCCTGACCTCTCCGGGAACTCTGAGGGCCGAGGACACAAGCCCAGGTCTCCAGGGTTCAGCGCGGCCCTCATGAGGCGCAAACGCCAAGCGCAGGTGGGAGTGCAGAGCCCCAGCCTCCTCAGCTGTGGCCCGGGTTCCCCCCGCGCATGTGTATCAGGCAACCGGAGCCCGCGCCGCCAAGTCGCCATTGCGGGAAGGCTGTCATCAGCTCCAGCCGCCGCCAGCTGCTGGTCCAGCCCCCGGGGCCCAGTCTGCGGGCTTCATTGGCTCAGGCTGCGGAGCCCTCAGCGCCTTCTCCCGCCCTGGCCAGGCCTGCAGCAGCAGCGTCAGGGACGGAGCCTCCCAGAGCGGCCTGGCCTCTGTGGAGCCGCTGAGTGAGGCAAGGCGGCGGCTGAGGGGGCGGGAACGGCGGGCACCCCGGCAGTGGTCCTTGGGGGACCCCGGCCTGCCTCGAGGCGTCCCTGTGCCCCGCTGCCCTGTGCCTCGTCTGCGTTTTGATCTTTTATAGAAACGAGCTTCCCCACCCTTGTAGTGAAACCCTAGTCTCCTGGTGTGATGCCCACAGAGGGCACGGAAGCCTCTCCCCCACGCCCTGCCCTGTGTCTGTCTTTCCTGCTAGGCGGTCCTGAGTGAAGTGACCGCGGCGGGTCTAACCTTTACTAAATAGATCCGTGCACCAGGATCTGCCAGCAGGTGCAGTGCATGCAGCTCCCGGTTAGCCCAGCACGCCACCACACAATGCAGCCCTCGCAGCCCTCGCATCCGACCTTGAGATTTTCTGCATCAACCGATATGACCGCTTAGAATGGCGCTGTACAAGAAAGAACAAGAAACCCATAGTTTTGTTTTGTTTTGCTGAAATATATTGTATGTTTGAGATAATTTGAGTATAAAGTGCAATAAAACTATTGCACTGGGAATGATGAACTCTTTAAGTCCTTGGTAAGTATACAAGTGGAACCGAAGCCATTTACTAGACAAAGTAATGTGACTGAGTGTTAATGGCTCCTGCATTGCCATGGTCGTAACTTACTTCATCACTCTGCCATTTGATACATAGCCTGGCAATTCTCTGTGGCTTCAGCTATGGTAGTGACGGGTTTTCAAAATGCTGTGGAAGGAATTAACCCAAGAGGCCAGGAGGTGGTGACTCAGGCCTGGTGCTCAGTTCTTTGACCTGTACCTTTCAATTCCTTGCCCTGTCAACTATCAGACATATTCAACAAGTTCATGGAAAAGGTGTTTCATGAAAAACTGTATAGATTTCAAAAAGTTTATGTACTAACCAAACAGCTTTTTTTTTTCTTTGACAGGCAGAGTAGACAGTGAGAGAGAGAGAGAGAGAGAGAGACAGAGAGAAAGGTCTTCCTTTTCTGTTGGTTCACCCCCACAGTGGCCGCCGCGGCCAGCACACTGTGGCCCGCGCACCATGC